TCGTTTCATCGGGCCCAGAAATCGGTCTTCCTCCGTGAGCTCAGCTAAGAGATCGGCATCGAATAAACCTGGGAGTACCACAATTTCTTTCTTTGACTCTGAGACGATTGGTTTTGCACCATTGATTGCGTACTTGACGAGATCTTACTGAAGGGCGCGGGCTTGGCCTTCGAAAGTTAGGGGAACTCAAGGTGAAATTTTCGACGAAAGAGAGAAGTTCTGCTTGATCCTCCATTGAACTGTGTGACGGATGTGGTTTAGTAAGGTTAGTTGGTTGAGTTATTGGTTTGTCGTTAGTATGTTGAAGAGCAGAATGTGGTAATGCAGTAGGATGGGAACCAGTAGGATTAGATGGATTCATGTTGTAGTGAAAAAGATGAGATGAGTGAAATAAAAGAGATTGATTTGCAACTATCTTTTAACAATTCAGGTCGGAGACAATGATTCCAGTCAAGCGAATTTGGTTTACGATTATTAATTAGAATACCGGTTTCTGATTGGTCAATTTCGTAACAACATGATTGAACGCCCTCACTCGGTGAGAGACCGCACGCGCGAATTTGCATAACGTGATTTGATTGGTCGAGAAAACGGTTTGATTTCAGAGTTTGAGGCACAACAACCTCTTGCGGCGGGGAACGTATTTTACTAGCCGAATCAAGTATATTGAATGTATTAATAAATGATAAGGCCGAATTAAAAGCCTCAATAGACTTTACAACAAAAAGTTCATCGTATATTGATGGCGCTGGAGCTGAGAAGTTTGGATGTCGAGAAAGGTAGTCCACAATGCCTAATGTAACCCCCAGGCACGTGGATAACTTCAAAGTCGAAGGGTAGTAAACGGTCCGCCCAACGTGAAAGGCGCGACTGATAGGATTTGTTATTATAATTTTCGCTTAGCGCCGAAATGATGGCTTTGTGGTCAGTTAGTACTTGAAAACGATTTCCCAACAAATAAGTACGAAAGTGTTCGCACGCCCAAACGATCGCCAACAATTCAAGTTCATTCGTACTATATTTTGATTCAGCATTATTGAGGAAGCGTGAGGCAAACGCAGTAGGAGCCCAAACCCCTTGCTCGATCTCCTGTTCCAAGCATGCTCCTAACCCGCTATGACTAGCGTCACATTTTACCCGAGACTTTTTTGAAGAGTCATAATGGAGTAAGTTTGGAATGTTAGCCAACAGGTTTATAATACTCTTGAAGGCATTATCTTGTTCCTCACCCCAACGGAAAGACTGTTTATTGCATGCCTTTAAAGATTCTCGAAAATGAACGGTATAGGTGTGTAGGTCAGGTAAGAATCGTTGCAAATGATTTAACGTCCCCATAAAAGAGCAGAGTTGCTTTAAAGTTTTGGGGGGTTTCAGTGATCGGACCGCATCAATTTTTGAAAATTTCGGAGAGTACCCGTGCTCATTTATAATGTAACCTAACCAAGTTAGCTGGTTTACTGAGAACTCGCACTTACTGAATTTCAATGCTCAGCCTTCTTGGTCGAGTCGCTGCATCACTCTCTCGACCAATTTATTGTGATCTTGGACATTTCCCTTCGTGACTACTAGGATGTCGTCCAAGTAACAGATTACACCTTCTAATCCGTGCAAGGTACAATCCATCGCCTTTTGAAACTCAGTCGGCATGTCAGTCAACCCATAGAACCCTGACTTGCAGGTCTAGACCCAACAGATTTCTTGTTCGGTTCTCAGAGACAAGGAAACAAGCCTCTTCCACTTTCCAACCACTAGACGAGATCGGGAGACAAACTGAGCCAAGGAGGCGAATCGGTTTTTTATTGTAATCGACATACAGAGTGTCTATAGGGTACCGTGCCACATCTCGAAATTGGAAAGACGGGTTGCGTTGTAATATTAAATCGCAGGTACGTTTATTAATAAATGAGACCGGACTTCCAGTGTCGATAGTTGAATAGAAAAACTCAATCCCGTACGCAGCTGAATACTAAGACTTCTTGGTTTTCCCTTGTTTGATCTGAGGAGCTCAATGCTATCTATCTGAACCGCACTTTCTAGCTGTAACACACTGTATTCAGGTTCGCTATCATAATCTGCATCTATAAAGTTGCAGTCGATTGAGGGGTCTGTCACTGCCTCACTATCATCGACCAAATTGACACGCCGTCTTGATGAATTACAACATTTGACAAAGTGACCTCGTTTTTTGCAAAGGTTGCATGTAACCTCTCGAGCGGGACACGACTTTCTGTGTTCCAGGTTAAAAGGATTGCCACAGAAATAGCATGCTTTGTTGCTTTTGTTACTTTGTGTGTTTTGTCGATTATAGTTGTTCTGAGGAGTATTCCGCTTTCCTCTAGATGACTGTATCGAGAAAGTGGGTTCTTGTTTTACCTTGATGCCGGTAACCTGGTTATGAGGGAGTAGTTTTTGGAACTGGGCCGACGTGCTAGCCCCCCTTTCACACTCCAGAGCGAGGTGAAATGTATCCTCTAAGTTTGCTTTTGCTGTAATCAATTGCTGTTGAACATCCACATCACGAATTCGTCCTACAAACAGATCTTTCAGAGTATCCCTCTTGAGCACGTGGCCAATTACACAAGGCAATTTGAGCACTGAGACGAGCGTAAAATGAAAAGAAAGTATCATTTTCCAACATAAAGATGTTATTGTACAGTTTAATGCGCTCAACATTATAATCGCGTTCTATCTTGAATAGTACTTCGCAAGCCTGGTGAAAATACCGAAACGAGTTAACACTAATGTCCGTATGCGGGTAAGAATCCGCGAAGCGTCGCTTTCCTTCGTTTCCTAGAGCGAAAAACAGACGTGACTTCAGGCGGGCTTCTGCTTCGTGATAAAACCAGTTTAGGCCTATTCTAGGGCCTTTCCTTCTGCGCTCGTTATTGAAGTTATTAACACGACGAATCGCTGCCTGATCTCTGAGGAGGCGTGCATCGGCCTCCGCAGCGGTTTCCGTTGCACCTACAGTCTCAGCTTTTGGAGGTGGTTCGTCTATAACCTCCACGGGTTCTGCTAATACATCCTGCGGGTTCAGATTATCTTTCAACCCCACTGCCAGGAAGAATTGTCCAATCCAAGATTCCCAAAGAAAAGGCGGGTTAATCGAAGGTTTTGCCCAAAACGGAGGAATACCCAACAGGTCAGTCCTGTCTTCGTTCACAGGAACTGCTGGCTGCGCCATGACATTTGCCGAGATTTAAAGGACAAAACTAGGTTGTTCGTAATAGTGAATTAGTTGATTAGTTGTTTAGATTCTTGGTTATTTAGATTTAGTTAGTCAGACTCTGACTAATAGAAATATGTTGAACAAAAGTGTTGAATAAAGTTTACATCTAACAAGCGATGACAAAAGAACATAAGAGTGAATCACACACAGTGTGTCACTCAGAAAAGCCAAACCAGTGACCTTGAGCGGACTGGTATAATAGATCTGCAGCATGGCTGCAAAAGGCAATAACAATGAGGTACTAAATGTCGCCTCATCTGCAAAAGGCAATATAACAATGAGGTACTAAATGTCGCCTCATCGCAGAGTCAAATATGCCTCTGAGAAAACTTTTTTGTATCTTATAAGCATATGGTCGGAGCAATCTGTGCTAATTGCACAGTAATCGGCTATCCTTTTTCAATTATCTAAATACTTGAAATAGTGTTTTTTAGTTTACTACTCTGGTCTGCCCAAATTTGGTAAATGATATTTTTTTCTAATCTAAATACTTGAGTTTCAAACTGAAGTTTGTACAAATTGGCAAAATCGTTTCTAAAAACAAAAAAACACTCGTGCTTTAAAGTTACACTAATGCCCCTGAGCCATTAGTGTAACTTTACTTTTAGTGGGGGTGTATAAATTTTTGGGGAGGGGGCTGATTAATGGTATGGAGCTACATTTTGGACTGCACAAAATGCATTTTCGATCCTTTTGTTTTTGATTTTGAGCCATTCTAGCATGCTTCTGCTCGAATGAAAACTCGGACAATTTTTTTAAAATCATGATTTATATTTTTTAAGATATAGCCCGCAATTTATAAAGGGCTGACCCAGTAGAGAATTAAGGGGACAGGGGGTTCTCAGTGCACGAATTTTCTTTCATGCACCTGACCCCCTGCCCACCCAAATGGTCCTACCTCTGCCACTACTTTACAACAATCATTTTGGGGCAACCAAGTCTAACTTTTTTCTTTTTCTGCAGGCACCTCCGGCGCTAATATATGTTAAAATTGAGGAAGAGCTAAACACAGAAGCTGAAAGTTTGGCCTGTTTTTTTCTTCAAAAGTTCTGGTTTTTGGTGCAGTAAACTGTGGCCAAGCAGAGGGATGTTGTTAAGAGTTCCTCCCATCACCGCCTATGCTACCTTGTAATGGATCCTCCACCCCATTGAGAAAGAAATGAGCGGTTGCGGATATACGAACTTATGATCTCTTAAACAATTTCCCCCTTTTGCAAAAGGGGGAGATTCGTTACTAGGTACAAAATTCGCAACCCGTTGAAATATTTCATTTTAGGGGTGTCAATTCGTAATTAGGTACCCTAAGGGGGGATAGTTAAAGGGATCCCGAAGTTTGTACCTTGTAACTACTCCCCCCCCCCCCCCCTGCAAGATCCAAACAGGGTCCTAATACTGTTTTGCAGGGCCTCAAAAAATCAATTTATCGGCCATAAAAAAGGTCGACAATTTTTAACTTTTTTTCTAAAACTCCTAACTGCGAAAAAATCCTAATTGAGTTCCTACCCTGGCATTGAGCTTTTTTTTTTAGTTTAGCTTCATGAAACATTTCAATCTAATATCAAAGCCATCTAAAACAAACAAAGCGTTTCCATTTGTCAATAAAGGAATGAACTTTCCATCAAAACTATGCAAATAGCAAACATGGAAATACACCTTTCTAATGCATCGAATCAACAGAAAAAATTAGAGCGATCATTTTTTATTATAGCGAGAGTAAATAAACGAATTATTTTTTATTGTCTTTTCTATTAGTAAAATGTAGTAATAACTCGGCCAATCAGAATCGAGATGGCCACTATTGGCCGGCTGAATTGATTTGCCAGTGGATGCTCTGTTATTGAAATATCCTTCCATTCGAGAAGAGCCTTTAGCAAGTTTAACCACTACTCAAAAACTGCTCTCTAGCTTTTGATAACGGTCGTTAGCATATTTCAAAAAAAAAAGTTCTGCAAAAATTTCAAAAATTTTGTTTGCTTAAACAAAAAGTATAATATCTTCGAAAATCATCTCTAAAGATACTAAAATAATCAAAAATAACCAAAAATTACTCTGAATATTTTGTTATAAATTTTTACATTCTTTTCAAACCAGTTATTCATAATTTCATATAACTTGCTGAGTAATTACAACAAAAAACAAAACTTATCGTCACTTTTTGAATTCAATTTGAATTTATACTTTTAAACTCAATCATTTTTGAGTTTATAACTTGGTAGAGTTATACCATAAGTGCAATAAAATTGCAAATGACGCTTAGCCCGAAAAACTCAGCTGCCGGTTTCTCAGTAACGGACATTTTGAACCCCCTCGAAGAGTACAACAAGCGATCTTCTCTTATGGACTCGACCGCCTTGAACTTCGCATCTATGGGGTACCGAGCCCAGCACTCCTCCCCCCATAACCCCCAAGTAGGGGGCAACAACGCTGCCCAAAATGCAATGCAAAATGTGAATGCTTCTGCCATTACAAGTCCATATATGGCAGCTCAGATGGCGGCTGCGGGGAACTTTGGCGCCCATTCTATGATGGCGGCGGCTGCGAATAGCAGTGCAGCGGCGGCGTATTGCAACCCGAATGCGATTTCGGATATAAACCAGAGCTTCGCGGGACTAGCGCAGTATGACCACTTCGGAAGGCATTCGTCCATGGCTGGGGCTAATGTATCTGGGTGGGGATATGCGCCATCGGCTGATCCCAGGCTATCATGTAAGTATTCGTGCAAATAATTTTTCCAATTTTTTTCCTTCAAAATTTTCATTGCGTTTTATCAAAAACGATTGATTTGGATAAATTGGAAAAAATGTCTGAAAATATATTTCTTTAAACATATGCGGAAGCGTTTCTTATTAAAACAAGAGCAAAAGTTTAGAAAAATTAAAAACATTTTTTTCAAAAATGGATTAATATCAGGTAAATTTTAATTTCACTTGCCTTGATATAAGTTTGAAAAACAATACAAAGTTGAAAAAGCAATGAACCAGTTTGCTTACTTAGTGAAAACATGCTTTGCCAAATAATGGAAACAACCGGGGAGTTAATTTGGTGGGTTTTGGGGAGTTAATTTGAAGCCTGGCGTCCTCAGTTTTACTACTAAGTGTCTGACCTCATTGTGTGTCCAATACTCAATTGTCGCAATCCAGAAGTCAAACTTAACAAAAAAGGGGTGAAATTAGTTGTAAAACACTTAAATTAAGATCGCGTGACCACAATAATCATAAAAATTACGTTTAATTGTTTTATGGCTTTCTCCTGCACCTTGTTTGTAAAATTATATTCATAAACACAATTGATCTCATTTATTCAATTACTTAATGAGTCTGGCTTTTTGGTTTTACCTCAAGATAAGAGAACTTACCGGTTTTTTTTTAAATAAACAGTTCGGCCATTAAAGAAACCTTGTGACACAAAAAAAACGTGGAAATTGAAAAAGGAAACGGAAAACAGTGCATATTTTAAAAAAAATGTCAAGAAACTGAAAAACTAATTATTTTTTAAATTTTTTGTTTGATTTTTCGTTTTGTTTATGTTTTATGTTGTTTTAGTTTCGCGTTTGATGCACTCGAGTAATGGCATGGGTATGGGTTCTATGGGCTCAATGGGCATGACTATGAGCTCTTTCGGTGCCCTGGGCGACCCCTCCAAAATGCTCTCTTCTCAGAGACGGAAAAGAAGAGTTCTGTTCACACAAGCACAAGTGTATGAGTTGGAGAGGAGGTTCAAACAGCAGAAGTATCTGAGTGCACCTGAGAGGGAAGCTCTAGCACAGGGAATCAATTTGACACCAACTCAGGTAGTTATTTCTTTATTATCTTTTTTCTAATTTCATAAATTTCATAAATTTTGCCACCAATTATTACGTTTTTTCGATAAAAACGATTTAAAAAAATTTGCCAAGTAAAAGTTTCTTAAGTAAAAGTTTGAGTTCGGGGAAACATACCAATTTTGCACCTCTATTTGAAAAAATGTAAAATTGTAAAATAATTAGATTTGAATTTGGAGTCTTGAGCTATTGGAAATCAAATTTTGTTTTTGTTTGCAGGTTAAGATCTGGTTTCAAAACCACCGATACAAGTGCAAACGAGCCAGCAAAGAACGACAAGCTGCCAACTCCAACGAGAGCGGAGGCGACAAATCAAACGGGGACAGAAATGTCAAACTAGAAAACAAAGACCCCGATGCGGACTCACTCGTGGACCCTAATGATTCGGATGGTCATGTAGGATCCCCTTTGAATGACGAAGACTTCACTCAAGATCAAGTTAAAAACCAACTTCTGGCTAACTACGCTAATGCAGCTCACGTACAACAGCAGCAACAAGCAGCGACTCAATTGCAAACTCAAGGGTATCCTGGACAACAAGGTCTGCAAGGGAACCCAGTGACGGGAACCCTGAATGATATGTCGAGGTGTCCGGTAATCCAACCAGCGTTGGGATCCGTTGCGAATCCTGTGAATTACTCCTCAGATGCAAACAATTTGGCTCTTTTTCAGAACTCTCTCGGAACCCGATGGTAGTCGGGTCCAAAAATATTCCCTCAAACTCGTTCTGGAATTCGAAAATTTCCGCCTGAATAAAAACTGAAAACTGTGATCAATTCGGTGTGAAATATTTATACAGTGTGAAAACTCTATCGATGCAATATTTCTTATTTTTGAGCTCATTTCATTTTTCTCGCAAATTTTGTGAAAGTGCAGGAAAAAATCAAAAGTTGACCTTTTGAAGCCTCTGAATATCTTCACTGAAGTCCATTATTTTATCATTAGCGTCAACAAAAAATGCAGTTGATTTCAAAAAGTTTGGGCGAGTTTTTGGAAAAGCCAAACGAAAATAAGTACAAATCATCTGTAAACCACCTTAGATAAGTAGCTTGAATAATTGGCATCTCTGAATAAATTTATCACTCTACTTTGTTGATTATGATTGCTCTCTGAACTTATAAAATATTCTTTTCATCATCAAATGTTTTGCTACTGATGTTTTAATAACATTATCCCAATTTAGATGTTATTCTTCTAATAATCTTTTCAACTATCAGAGCTTTCCTGGTTCCATAATTCCATAATTTTAGTCTTCAATCGAACTAAAGGTCCGAAGTTTAACAACCATTAAACAAAAATATCCCGAGTCTCCCGATTAAAAATCTCAAGCAAAATGGTCACAGATTTCGACTTTAGACGAAGTAGGCTCAAAAAGTCAGCCAAACAGTGTTAATGAATAAATCAAAGATGATACAAAAAAAACGATATTCAGAAATCGAGCAAAATTTCAAGCGTCTTGAAAGCGCCAGCGGAGCTTTTCACCGCTCAGCAAAATAACCCAAACTGTACTGTTGAAAATAATTTGAAAAAACAAATCGCAGACGACAAGACTCAACAAAACACGATTAACCGAAAAACATTCCAAAAGCAACTATCTGTACATTTTTGCGACATTGTGAATGAATGTCATTTTTTCCTGAACAAATAGCTCTGTCAAAGTAAGTCACAGTAACAAAAAAAATTATTTAAAAACCCAATCATCTTGAAAGCCTTTTAAAGCGTTTTGGACTAACGACTAACGGGCGCGTTGAGTTTCGTGAATTATTCTATTTTTCTGGGGACACAAAAATGCATGCCATTGACCTGTTTTCAACTTTAACTTCATAATTGTGTTTTCATACAGTATAACCATGTTATTCCAACTTTATATTTCTCAAAAAAAAGCACTCAAAAGGCTGTTATTTTTTCATTTACTTATATTGACAAATTAGTCATCATCAATCGATCGATGTTATGTATAACTTTACAATGTGAACTGGAAACTTTACCCAAAAATTAGGGCAAATCCAAGAATTAAAATTAATCGGCGTCAACCTGTCTGCAATTAAATTAGCTTAATCACACATTTTGAATTGGGCAAAAGATTTTTAAGGGGTGCAAAATTAGGATCAAAACAAACAATTTCCCCGGAAAAAAAGACCGGACGAAGGGAATACTTGAATAGTCCGGATTAGCCATTCAGAATTCTGTATCATTTATAAACAACTCATTAAGTAGTTAATTTGCATTACTCTTTAAAGTTATTAAGTCGGAATTAAGTCCTATGCTGCATTTTGCACAGTTAACTTTGAACTGAAAAGATAGATCAAAGTTAAGTACTGTTATCCGTTATCAATTATAATTTTGAGAAAGTTAACAAGTTAAACAGACTTGCTGCTGTGCAATTGTTTCTTTTCTTTTTCAACTACGCCGAAGTTTTGAGATAACGTTCAAAAAATGACCATCGTGTTATTTTATCAAAAGTCATGTGGATTATTGGACCTTTAATCTTTTTTCAGTACTTGGAAGTTCAAGCGCTCGATTCTGGTATGCTAAAAGCTTACGTGCAATAGCTTTATGATACCATGATGCCATTTAAAAAAATTTTCTGATACCTTTTATTTAGAAATGATAACATCATTAGTATCTCGTAGTGTTCGGTTTAGGATTCAATTCAAACTAGATTTTTCATGTGAAAACTTTTTTAAATTTTGGGTAGCATTTTTTTTATACCATTTTTTTTCTTTTTTTTATGAAGAAAAAAAATGGTATGAATGGTACATTTTTGCAAAATGAGTTTAATCAAACCTCAAAGGTGTTTTATAGTTGTTTTGGTATCGAAATTGGTACCAAAACAATTTCGATACCAAAACAACTATAAAACACCTTTGAGGTTTGATTAAACTCATTTTGCAAAAATGTATGAAATTTGTAAGACTAGCATTTTTCCATAGACTAAGTGTATGAAATTGTATGATTAGCATTTTCGGTCTATGGAAGTCAACCCGGGAGACCTCTGTATAAATCCTCCCCTCTCCCACCTATGTTACTTAGTAAGAAATAACCGCCCCTATAAAGAGCTGATTAAATAGTAAAAAGCATACAACACGAGTTTTGTTAGGCGGTAACGCCTTTCCCTTTTTTTGACAAGGGGGAAATAGTTAAAGATATCCAAAGAATTGCACTTAACAATCAAAAGGTAACTATTTATACCGAATAATAGCCAGTTCAGTACTTAGAACGTGAAAACAAAAACAAGTCGTGAAATCTCAAGTATGAACGTCTTAAATTCCTCTTAAGATGTGTTAAGAATACCAATCAAAACTTGTTTGTTCATCAGTTTTCAACTCAACGAAGAACAAACAATTAGCCTCTTAAGTTCTCGTCAAGTTATGACAAGGCAGTTAATACATGTTTAGTTTTAATAACCCTTCACGTTTTCAAGGACACTTGACCCGATTGGTTAGACAATTGGTGTAGTTTTGTGGGTCGCACCAAAGATGACAGTATCCAAATTTTGCTTTGTGTATAAAATTTGCTTTACCTTTTCATGAATAATGACAGTTTTCGTCGTTTTCAAATTATGGTAGTTTTAATTAATTTTCACCTGAAAAAAGGCAAAAGCTTGAGTCAAGGAGTGATGAGTTTATCAGAAAAAATTGGATCATAAATTTTATAACCGTTTATTTAACTTGAATTACTTATCATCTTAGCACAATGTCATGTTGAGTTTTCAAAACTTGAAATGTTGACGACAAGTTCTTTTTTTGTTAATCTATGGTGCTTTTCATGGCTTTTTAAACACAGAGGGTTGCAAATTATTATTCGATCGAGCGAAAAAATTGAATGACCATTTTTACCATTTTTGTTCAACCACAAGTTATTCTGAAGTTATATTATAAGTTATGATATAACCACTGCGTTAAGTTAAGTTATCAAACAATAAATATTTTTAAGTTGTTATGTGCGCACTTATGAAAAGCGATTCGGAGCGTTTTTAGCTGGGGGCTTTATTGAAAAGTTGGACTTTCAGAAGTTTTCGATTGTTTTTTGAGCCGGCCATTGTGGTTATTTTATTCAAGAGTCGAGTTATCAATTAACTCAAGTAGCCAAAAAAGGCTAATGGTTAATATCTAACATCTATGCTTAGATTAAGACCAGTTCTGACTCGCTTGAAAAAAAAAGTGCGTCGAGAAGATCAAATCGGGAGCAGAATTTTTAAAAGAAAAAAAGTAAGCGGGCCTGGTTTGACATGAATAAAAAACTATGTAAAAAGCGGAAACTCGATAAAAAACTTCAAATTTTATGGAACTTTAAACAAACCTCCGTTGGCTTAAAAATTTACGGTGTTTTATTTTTCTTACTCTAACTTTAAAAAGAGCTCTTTGATGTATTCAGATTTACATTCATACTTTGTCTGAGAACAAAATCTCAACCAAACCAACTGGAAGTTATCACTATATCATTTGTTTTTGTTTATGCTTCATGGACTATGTCGGCGCTTAGAAACGTCTGCTCAGTTTGTCGTCTCTGAAAAATAGTTCTAGCTTATGACAAAGGTGTCAGATGTGGTAAACTAAGCCTGCTTTAACTAATTGGATTGTATCTGCAACGTCTCTGCTGTAAAATCAGCTCAAACTCGAAAACTGTACTCAAGTTTTATGACGAGATAGTTTATAACTAGTTAATCAATAAACTCTTGAGAGGCTAGCACTCTTGTAATCAATTTGCTATGACGCTTTTGGCAACTTTCAGTCTTGAGTTGCGATTGCCTCGCGAGAAGAGAAAAAGGCTCGGCCGTGTTTTATTGTCGTAATTACGATCACATTTGATTAAACGTTTCAGCCATGCAGAAATGAAAAGTTTAGCGTTTTAATCTACTAAAATAGAATTAATCAAACCGTAAAAATTAATTCTATAATGCTGCTGCAGCAAAATATCATGAAAAAAAAAATTCGTCCCATAAAAACTTTCAAATTGTGGGACAAAAAGAAGAGCCATATAAGGAGTAATTAAGGGATCTTGTTAACAATTTCCCCCCTTAAGCAATAGGGGAGAAATTCGTTTCCAGTAGGTAAAAAATTCGTATATGCTTAACTACTCAATCCTTTCTTTGTGAGGATGGAAGTTTGTAAGGTAACAATATCCGTGTTCAGGCAGCAGGTATAGCAAACTTCTCAATTAGTCTACACGCTAAAAGTTAGTGAAGTGAAGCAACCATAAAAAATTTTGATAAAATACTCCGTTTGTCCATGAAGCTATTACCCTTCCCAACTCCAAGCTACAATTGGTCGCAGCCAGCTTTTAGCAGCATTTCAAAAAACGACAACCCGGGTTGGCCAAAAATGCTTGTCCTACAATTTGTTGGAATCTAGTTGGAATCTTTTTTCGATGAGTTTTAGAAAATGTAAGAAAATTGTATGACCAGCATTTTTTTATACATTTGATGTATGGATTTGTTGATGGAGATAAGCGTTTTCGGTGAAGGGAATTGTACGATAAGCATTTTCGGTTTATGGAGGTCAACCCGGGAATATTTTACAGCACAGTTCTCATTACGAGGCCAAACTGTGCATTCTGTGCATTGTAAACGGATTCCGCAACAGGCCAAAATCAGATTTGTCGCGGAATCCGCAACACTGATATTTTTTTGATCTTTTTTGCTGTTTTGGATTCTAAAAACGAATACTAATAACATTGTACCCACATAGCAACTTTAAGCGGAGTCCGCAAATTGTAAGTGGAATCCGCAAATTGTAAGTGGAAACCGCATTTTGTTTGCAGATTTCACGTAAATTTATAGATTCTACTCACATTTTGCGGATTCCAATTACATTTTGCGGAATCCACATACAGTTGTGGAATCCAGAACAACAAGCTATATTTGCTTGTTATGGAATCCGCAGCAAAACAAATATGCCGACAAAACACACATTACAGGTCTTTGTACGTGAAATCCGCGAAACTTTTGTAAGTGGAATCTACTTACATTTTTGAAAATGTTTGAAGACTTGTCTCTAGAATCCAGGAACATACAGACACAAAAGTGTGCGCCTATCCAGTGCACAGTTTGGCGTCGTAATGCTTCTGAGAAACAGACAACTAGTTTCAAACAAAATAATCGTATCAGGGCAAAGCCTTGAATATTCCGGCTGCCTTTTAAGGTCTATGATGCAGTAATAACCTCCCTGTTCAAAA